ATCACCTATTAGAAATAGTAAATCGTTAAACTATCTAACGAAGAACTTCTTCATCCTTTTCACATGAACAAGATCCTGCCTCCCAAAGATCCTGCCTACCAGACCTATTCAGCACTTTTCAATTCTAAACGAGGATTATATTCAAGAATAAAGATTTACGGAGTGTTTTCAGTTCAAACCTTTTTCTAGAGCAATCATCTTATCCTTTTTAACCGACTTCGAAAAAAGGAGAAGGTTCTCAATTCGAGTGTATGTTTTTTCTTTTTTTATATATATGTATGAAATAGAAATAGAAATAGAAATAGAAAATCATTTATTCCTTGCAAAACAACACAGTACACATGCGTTTAATAATAATAACATAAAGACTTAGGTACACAATAGACCTACAAGAAATTTACAGTCACGAATTATATAATTTACAAATAATAGGGAAGAAAGCGTGTGTGCTGTGCTGCTAAGGAAACCGTAATCCACTCAGCTTGTTGTCGTCTCACTGGGAGTGCTACGACGCTGATTTTCAGCGGATCCGGCAGCAGAACACACGTGCCACGGAACACTGCAGCTGGCACAGATGGATACGAAATATAATGTTTGATAGAACAAGCACTTTGATACTGCATGATACACTTTAACATTGCCACAGCATTGATAATTGTACAATTGAGGTATTAGTTATCAGGTACCAACATACAGGACAATACAGGTAATAACATAACAAGATAATTAAAAGATAGTACATGCACTATTGCAATATGCGTAAAAGCGTACATTTCAGTATAATATGTAGTAAAGTATAAATCATTTTATATAATATTGTATGTATTAAAATTTATAAATTAAAATCGAATGGTTAATAATTGAAATTGGAATTAACTAAATAAATAACAAAATGTAGACGACCCCGACACATCAACAGCTACGTTGGAAATTGCTGAACATTAAGTAGGTCTTGAGTGATCTTTTGAAATTAAAAATTGACGTTGCATTTCTAATAGGCGGTGGTATATTGTTCCAACTCCAATTGTATGTTACGCGATAACTCCGGTATTTGTGAACCGATTTTCATGATTCTTTTTTTGTTGGTAAGAGGGTACCTCCATAGTGGTCCCATTTAATTTTGAAGAAAATCATCCACCTGTAAAGGTGCCTGTTCAGGCATGAAGATTCATTTTTATAAATAGCGCCTAAATTTTATTATAAGGAACAATTATTTTAATGGTTGATTTTGCTATTCACCAATTCAAGGCGTTTTTCTCTCTCAATATACTTTGAGTAGTGAGAACCGATTTTTATTATCTCCTGCATCAAGTCCCGTATAGTTTTAGTAGGTACTTTGTACTGACATTATTTTACAATACTTTTTTTAATAATTCTAAATACAAACCCACATTCATTCAGCCAGCACTAATACAGTTCATAATGCCTAGTCTACAGTACCTAGGTGTAGGATCTTTGATTAGGTAGGTAGGTAAGTGTCTAGATATATGAGAAGCAATTCAATACAAAAGACGCAATTTCCGATAAACTAGCCGATTGAAAAGTAAAAATAATTTAGAATGTATTTGCGAAAATATCACATTAACGACAGCCATAAATGCGATTTATAGAAAAGATAAAGTGATACGAAACAATGCTGCGCGGGCGCATATAAAACCTCCAATCTGTGGCGCAGCGGCGAGACAATCGCGCATAAACCACGCGCCGTGCGCGCGAACAATGCGCTATAGCGTATTTATTAACTCCGCGCAGCCGCGTATGCGCCCGCGCAGCGCCCTCACCGCGGCCCCTCTCTCCCACCGACTAGTGTTTCCCGAATTGTTCTTATTGTTGATATTTTATTTCCGGTCCAATATTCGGTTGCGTTTTATTTCGTGAGAATGTCCATGATTCAGCCAGCTTTCGTCATTTCCAACCCCATCGAATTAGGGTCCAAATTTGTTCCACAACAAGCTGACCGTTCTTATTATTATTATTATTTCTCTTTCATTAATTATTTTATTATATTATTGTATTTGTACTTACACAATTTTCTCTGAACTCAATTGTCTTCATGTAGAGTTATGTAGGTGTACAAGGTAAATGGGGTAAACAGAGGCAATTGCCGTTTTAGTCATAACTAAATGTAAGGCTCGGCTTAATGATCTACGGTGATTTCGAAGTGGTAACTAAAATTTAATGACTATTTAAATAAAACAACACATTGTGAAGCCGGGCGGCTCGTTTGAGTCTGCGCTGTGGTCGCGGGTCATTTGCGCCGCTGCAATTTGTCGGTGCGTCGTCGCGGCGGTGCTGCAGTGCTGCGGTGCTGCAGTGCCCGGGCGCAGGGGCGCAGGGGCGCAGGGGCGGTTAAGGTTGCGACAAAGACTCGCTTTTTGCACAAACAAGTGACATATTTGGGGCAATTAACAGAAATACGCCGCCGGCGGAACCTGTGAGCCGTTTTTGTCGCAATTCATCCGCCTTGTCACGCCGCCGTTGCGCCTGCGACAGTCGCGACCCGTGTTTGTTGATAATGATACACATCGTGGAAAAAATGTAGGCACATTTTTCGTACATTATAAGCGCGAGATAAGGACAAGAGCGTTAGCAGGAAACTCAACACCTCAATATTTACCTAGGTATGTTTGTAAAGAAATACTATAAGGTATAATAACCAAGTTGCCCCTTCTGGCCAAGAGTTCGTCTATTTTACATGAAAGGAAATTAATGGACAAGCAAAGAGAACCATGAAAATGTTGGTACATTTTAATAGAATAATGTCTATGATGATGGTGGTCTATGATGACCCCGAAATGGCAGGTACAGAATGATATTTATTTATTTCATACATACTTAACTGCCGTGGGCGAACGGTTACCATGTCGGACTGCCACGTACTTATATATTTTTCCCGTCCCGGGAAGCGAGCCCGGGACGGGAAAATATTTCTATAGCCTACATTTACTTCTCTCGTGAGTTTGGGTGTAATTTGTGGTTGCCAATGTGTGTCCACGGCACCCACGACACAGGGTTTCCCCAGTGCGGGGCAATGTTGAGTGTGAAAAAAATACAGCTATTTTTACAGGACTATCCCAATACCTACAATAGTGTTGCATTTCATAACATCGCACCCCTCACGGCGGAATGGCATAAGTGGAGTTACGAAAAACATGTTATTAGCTCCCTCAGGCAAGCTAAATACCTGTACCTAACTCACATTCTCTTTAATTCTTATAATTGTGTCTACAATATTAGTCGAAAGAGTTCAAAGAATTGGAGAGGATGTGAGTTATATTTTTCTGTGACTAATGGAGCAATAAACGTTTTTGACGTAATTCCACTTATGCCATTCTTCCATGAGGGGTGCGACATAATCAATCACATAACATAATAGAACTAAAACATACAATTATTACTATTATTGCAAATTAATAACATTTATTAAAACTAATTTCTAATAAAGTATAATAATGAATAATGTCTATGCAATGAAATAGAATTAATTTAGAACAAAGCAACAGTAGTGATGCCTACATGAACTCACTCTCAAAGCTAGTAGGCAAAAATGTCTACCTCTTCAGTTAGGTACTCGATTTAGTGTGTGAATGGTGCGAATAAGGGGCGGCTTGTTGAGCTGATATACCTACAGGTAGTGGATTAGGTTAACCCACCGATTATCTCGTTATTTTCTCGCTTTTGTAGATATTTTTGCTTGTGCATGATACAAACGCATATTCGGCAAAGTAGGGCTGTGGATGATCGTGATGATGATGGGGCGTAAAAGAGGGTAATGAAACATTTTTAGGTTCGCCCAAAGTCCGACCTTGTGGTTGCCATCTACAACATCTATCGTCACTTAGTTAACAACCATGCAATAAAAAATCAGTGATTTTTAATTTTGGACGTTACTTAAGCAAAAATTAATTGTGAATATCAATGACAGTGTTAAAACCAACACACAATTATTTGTTAGGTATCCATAAATAGTTAGACTGACAGAATATTTATACTTATGTATATCTATGCAATAATATTTTCCACTTGAGCCTATGACTAGGTACGTCGCTTATGGGCTCCATAGATTGAACATCTCAAGTATAGGCTCAGTGGAAATGCAATGCTAGTGGACTGTATTAACTTATAATTATTCGAGAAAAATAAATTACAAAGTTTAGCGACGTGTGCGACGGCGGCGACCGTTACGTGAAGAGAGATTTTTTGTTTTTTGATTTTACGGCTGCGGCCCGCTCGGAGCGCGGGCAGTGTTGCCATGTCTGTCTTAGACATCTCATCTGCTACCAATCTTGAGGCAAATACGAGTATACCTACAACCTGTGAGAGTATCTCTCCGTTTCAATTTCTTCTGCAATAACCATCGAGCGATAAAAATATTTCTTATCTTTGTAGAGCGAAATTGAAAATGTTGTCTTATTTAATGAAATTCCGTGTTCCAAGTGATTCAGTGGTCGAGGCGAATGAAGTGTCACATGTCAGCGCTGTCGATAGGTTAAGCGGCTGCGAGTAGTGCCTAATAAAATTAGGCGACACGTACAATATCAATTACACTCTGAGTACATGCCGCAGCGACGCTTACATAAACATACGCACATAAGTGCCCCGGTACATAACACTAGCCTAACATCCCCACTAACCACGCTGGGCCCCGGCGGCGGCGCAGGCCAGCGCCCCACCGAGCGACATTTTCCTCGGTTCTCGTCGCGCGCGCCGCCCGAGCGCATCCGACCGAAGGGGAAAACAGACATGCTACAACCACCTACAACTCGAGAGCTGCGCAATTGCAGCCGTAAGCTTTCAGGCATAGAGCATTGAATGCGATGACACGAAACAGAGACGCATCAGCACGCTTCAAATAGAACGCGAAACGGAAAAAGGAGCGCGACCGAAATGAAGCGCAGCGATTGGCCGATGCGCGCCAATGGCGGCGGGAGGCGGGGCAGGCGCAACGACTGCGCGTGCGCCGCCGGTGGCGCTGCTCGCGGCCACCACATGTCAGGCCTGCGCGACCGCAGGTTCACGTTCGCCAGTGCTGTCGAGGCGAGACTTTCGCGAGGTTCAGCCCGCACGGGCATGGTGCAGTGAGTGAGTGATGATGCTTGGTGGAATGGACGGTAAAGAGTACGGGGCGCTGCACGCGGCCGCCGCCGCCGCCGGGTACACCATGGACTCCGGTCAGTACACCAATTGTATACTTGATGCATATGTACTACATGAAGTATCTATATAGCACTCACTATAACTGAATTAACGCGCCGCGGCAGAGCGATTAACCAGCTGCAACTGTTCTTTAGTAACGCATAAAAATAACTAAATAATACTGATTATACCTACTTAAAGTACTTATTGCCTAACAAGTATTTATTTACGTGCTTAGGACTACGTCGCACCACTTTCTTTTGCCGTAGATATGGGTAGATAGTCCTCACAAAAATGTAACAATGTGGTTTTCGCGCCAGAATTGCTCGTTACCAATGTTATCGTTTAACTCAGTTGTAAACTGCGAACTGCTGGCTAAGGTGATGATATTACAGTATCTACAGATGCCTAGACACACATAAAGCTGAATTATCACGTTCTTAAATTGCATGTTTGAATTTACAAGTTCTATAGTCAGTTGGTTCTTAATTTGATCTACCATAAATCGTAAAACAGGATTGTGAAAGGGAAATCAGAAATTTATTGGAGAGAAAAGCTAAGTAGGCTAGGTAGGTAAGCAAAAGAAGATGAATGTCTATCTAATGAATGTCTAATCAATCGCTAGTTATATAGTTCTCGTAGCTATGTCCAATGCTGGTGTACAGGTATGTAACATTGAAATATTATATCGCAAAAGTGAGTAATAATATTTTTAAAGTAGATATCTACTTATCATTGTATTCAGTTTCTTTTTATGGCAATATTATCTACCCCAGATTTGGGAAAATTTTTCCAGTATTGAGTTTAGTAACTTGGACGAAATTTTAAGAGTACGCTGATGGGGTATTCGCGACGAACGCCGAGGTGTAGTCGTAGCCATGGCATGACACCGACGTGTCTGACATCAGTTCACGATTTCTCACGAAAAACGATGTTTATGGGCAAAACAAGTAACAAATGTATATAATAACACTGCCACAATAAAGTTTACAAAACTTCTATCCAACATTACAAAATGTTGTAATGTTTGTTGCGTGAAACGATATAAACACTTGAACGAAATATACTGCTCGTGTCTCCGCTAGTGAAGTAAGCCTAAAAACTTTAATAAATATAATGTTTGCGCCTTAGAATAATAACGTACAGAATGACAGTTTCATATCAACCGAACTGTCACAAGTGAGGCAAAAATCAAATTCATGTAGGCTAGTTTTAGTAGTAGGTTAATTTTCGGTTTTAGTGAATATTTATATGAAAATACAAGTTGAAACGCGTTACTTCCTTGTGAAATGTGATGTTAGTATCTATTTTATGTTTGTCTGACGTATTTTTACACTCATTTACCGCACATTTCGTCATTTTTAGCTAAAATTCTGGAGCTGTTCGCGGTGCAAGTTGACCTTGAGCACTGAAGGCCCGACCGCTCGTGTGGGCCCTTTGGGAGCGCTTTAATTTGCCTCACTTAGCGTGTGCGGACTAGGTTTCTATGCGTTATGATTCTAAGGTTTGCGCAAACACTGCTGAAAGTTCTCTTACTTAATATGTCAGGTAATATTACTGTAACCATCCATATAAAAAATTTAAGACCGATGAGGTAGAGCGAGATCTTGCTGCGTTGCTACGCGCAGCAAAGCGGCTAGTGATGGCCACACACTATCGACAAACTGATAATGAGTATCGAACTGCCAATTATAGCAGAACCGCGATAATGGGTGGGCTGACAGTTTCGCGGGTCACCAAGTCACGCGACTCGCTTATCTGAGGTACGTCGCTTGCTCATTGATTAATTGTCTGTTTGTTTGTCTTATTACCTACACAGAAATTAAGCAATAAATTTAAAAAGACTAGTTTATTGTTACCCGCGAGAACTTCAGTTACCATAAGTTTGACGGCCGAACAATTTTTATAATTTTTTTTATAAATATAATGTGTATAGGTACCTACTGAATCACTAATCTGAATTTTAAGTAGTAGACATAAAATAAAAATATAAAATACGTCGGTAAATTGCTGAGTATTCAAATTCCATAAAAAGCGGCAAATCGAGTGGCGCAGGCGCATAAAGTTGCAGTAAACGCGCGCAGGTTATCGCGGGTCGCGGGGCGTCACGGGTTATCGACGCCGATACGCCGCACGTCACTTCATCGCCTGTGCCGGCGCACGCTCGCCACGCGCACTCCTGCAGAACACAATCCACCTTAAGCGTTTTGGATCGAATTTAGTGGTAAAAGCTTCCTATTTTTTCTTAATTTATTGAATTCATTAAGTAACTACCTACCCGTTGCCAATGAACTGGTTTTTACAATGACGACAGAACAAACGTATGCAAAACACTGGTATTGAAATAAGAGATCACAGTGTTTAATACCAAAATAGTGACGACTAAATAGCTGGGTTTCTTTTTATACAAACATACATATACTTCACGCCGTTTTTGTTTACATAATATAGGTATTATATAATCTCAATACAGAGGAACAAAGCCGACCTCAAAAGTTCGTGGAATTACATCTATTTGCCAAGTTTTTTTGAAATCGGTTACCGGAAAGTGCGCGAAACCGGATTCATCCCCTAGTTTGCCACTCTTACCGGTGAAATGTTTCCTTCTAATTTAAATTGCACCACTTTTGAGGTACCCTCTTTTTCTAACAAAAAAAAGAATCATCAAATTCGGTTAACAAATGCTATCACGTAGTTATCGCGTAACATACAAAAAAAGTAGTCCAATTGAGAAACTCCTCCTTTTTTTGAAGTCGGTTAAAAAATAAATATACATTATTCGATACAGGAACACTTATTAGCATTTCAAGAATACGAACCTAAACCTTGGTTACTTGGTAATAGATGTATCTATGTCGTGTCCCCGTATAGTCAAAGCTAAATAAACGAGGGATTACTATTGTAATCCTAACCAGTAAGCATACATACCTACATGTTCACCATTGGGGTAAAAAGATACTGTTGACCACCATTACAACGTTCTTGGCATATAGACATAGGTACGTCTTCCGCTTTCGTCACTAGCATCGAAATTTTTTTGCACATATCCATAGAGCGCTATATCTATTCTGCATTCCATAACTTGTCTTGCGTTTTGGTATTATTTGTTATCGTCGATTGTTTGTCAACAAGTGATATCATGTCCCTGGTCATTGCGATCATCAGAGCGTGGGAGTCGCGCCCTGAACCACCTCCGCGCGCGCGCTGCCCAGCTAAGTGACCAGTTCCTACTCAGAAATTATCGACGAAGTCCAATACAATTTGATTGATACAAACGAAATCGAAGTTAGTTGGTTATCTTGAATAAGTTGTTTATTATTTTACCACAGAATGTAAGAGAGTAGATCGAGCTCCAGACACAATTCTTTATCGTATCTCGATTTCACACTACACGTGCGATGTCATGCATATTAGATGGTGACCATAATACATCGCGTTATATTCAGTTATAGCTACCTCTCAGTAAACTAACACGTGGCTAGCCTATTATTAATAGAAAAAATTCATAGAATAGAAAACTCGAGAAAAAAATCCAACATTTCGCATAAAGCGCTCGATATAAAACTATAAAATTTAATGAACAAATTCTAATTATTTTTCGGATGCGGAGACTGTTAGCGGCGTTTAATGCGCTGATAACGGACGCGGGCATTTGTTAAAATTATCTCGGACCTTTGCCTATAACGTTTATTGGTCGATATGTGTAATGAATACTCTATTTATAAAAAAGCAGGAAACTGATCGAAAATCACTTCATTAAGAATCATTAGGCACACTCTATACAACAGTTTTACGCGTTTATTGCATTTATTTCTCGTCTGTTAACCAATTTTTGCGAAATTACTTTGTAGTATTTAATTTTGTTTTATATCTCGCGCTGCTCGCTAACAACTTTTGACCAAAAATCCAAGCTACTCGTATTGTCACGTTATCTTCTTCGAAATTGACATCGACGCGAAAAACAATTTCTCTTTACTTCGTCATTCCCATACTCCTGGCTCGTATATATTCATATTATATTTATTAGGCCTCACTCAGGTAAACACACGTTCAACTTAAGGCGACAAACACAAGCGTGTTTGGATTGCGGTTTGTTTGCCCGCCGGCTCCGGCGGCTCCGGCGGCTCCGGCGGCAGCGCGCTCATTTCTCCGATTCTCGGCTCATTTCCGCGCTCACGGACACGGGCCGGACTGAGCTATGATTGCTAATGTCCGGGTAATTGAGGAGCCAGTAGTAAAGTTCTAAGAACATAAATCCGACATTACCTTTCACAGGTTACTCAAAACTTTTGATTCAAGAAAGTACATTGTAAACAACTTCACTTTAATTATTAATACAAAGATCGAACACTCAGAAAAAATCCTTCGATCCCCCGGATTTGAACCGACGTCGGTTCGAATCCGGCCGGATCGAAGGAATTTTTTCAAAGTAGTGGAATAATTTCACAAAAAAAAAATATTAATAAAAATTGAATATCAATTCTATAAAAATTTACCTTCATTTTATCCTATAATATTCGTTTGTTGCCTTTCATACACAGGTTCTACCTAATGATTAATTTCGAATCCATAGAAACCAATGTCTCCTATAATAGTTACTTACCCTTGAAACTTGATATACTGTCAGCAGCCTAAGTACATCTCCAAACAACGAATAATGTTACAATTTCCTGTCAATTAGACACTATGTACCTTATTTGTAAAGTCAATATTTGCCTCTGACTTGTTCACTTACGAGTACTCTGTTCAAAACAAAATGACCCTTACAACAATTCGCGTAAAAACGACCTACAAATGGAACTTGATAATATACTCTACTCTGATTTCGAGTGCCGCTCTGTCCTAGAAAATAATCCTTACGATGAAGATATAAGGCTATGAAAATGTTTCGCGTTAACTTTCGCGTGGTTTGGTGGTGCATACGCTGGCGACGGACGACGCCGACTTGTCGATCCGGCTGCTAATCGCATTTTGGTTTTTGCTCTCGTTTTTGTTTACTCTATTCAACGCATTACGTGGGTGCTCTATTTTAAGC